CTAAGCATATACCTATTGATAGACTTGAAATTTGCAGAAGCTGCTTTCTTTTTAGTTTCTCTATTACAGATACAATTTATATTGATTTTTTAAAAGATTAAACATGTGTAGGTTGGTTATACTATCTGTAAATATCATTCCAGGAAAGTAAAAGGGGCATTATCAAATATCACTTGATATAAAGGTGACATTGGGTCTGATGGAGTAGAGAATCATGATCACATACATCTATGAATTCAAAGAAATCATATATATATATATATATATATATGTATATATATATATACATTTTTTTACTCTGGGGATGCTCCTGTCAGGCAGCTACTCAACTGAACTGCCATCCTGCTCCACCAATAACTTTTATGACATTTTGTTATGACTTATATGTCTATATGTGTAGGCTGTGAATGTATGATGTCTTTTACTCATATTTATGTCCCCAACACCTAACTTAGGGCTTGACACAGAGAAGGGGCTCAGAAGATACCTTAAGGATGAAATATCAAATGAAAATTTTGAGAGGTATGCAGTCCTTGGCTCTCTGCATAGAACTCTGAATCAATTATTCAACATTTTGCCTATGCCAATAGTATCAAGCATTCCTCATTCTGTCTAATGTTGAAGTCAGTTACATACAATTCTCTCAATTTTCTCTCCTCCTTGTGGGTCCAGTCAGTACTGTTTCACTCTGTATCCTAAAAGAACCCTGCACAGAAGCAGCAGGTCAATAAATAATATTTAAATTAAATTATTCCCTGGGAATATTGCTATATATAATGCCTGTGTTTTTAGTACTAACAGTACTGTAATTCAGGTATATTATTGATTAAAAGGGTATTTGTAGATTGGTCTGGAGACCAAAGCATCATCTAAAGTACTGTTTCTATCAATGTATTACAAGTTCCAAAATAACCAAACTTTTAAGATCACCTTTTAAGCTCCAAGTCAATTGTAAGTTGAGAGTTATCTATTCAGTGGAGCTGGGTGGGTCTATGAGACCTAACATCTGTAAGAAAAATAAAAATGCCAATCAGTCATGAGGATGTCTCTAAATATTTGATTGTATGGCATCCTGCAGGCAATATTTAGTCATTTTATCTTCCAGATTTAATCCAGATGGTATTTTTCACATAAACAGACACAGTGGATATTTAGAAAGGGATTTAAATGTTATAAAAACTTTTGTTAATGAAAATCTCATTAATTTATGATTTGTGCTTTCATGGTTTTATCATAGTTATTTACCACTTAATAAAATAAATGCATTCTAGACAATATAGTAGAAAGTAAATCTATCAAGTGACTATATTCCAGTTTCTATCAATATATTGATATATATATATTTCTATCAATATATTATATATATATAAAATATGTATTTTACAGAAGAAAAAGTGGGGACATAGAAAATTGTATTCAAAACTAATAATTTCTTTTCAATATATGAATATATAATTATAAAAAATAAACTAAAAATATTAACAGTACTATACTCAAAATAATTCACTTAAAAAAACCTAAAAATAAAAATAAACTATCAGTAGAAATTGAACAGTCAGATTAACTTTCTCAACCAGTGTTAGTCTATGGTCACTATAACGGCAGTACTTCCTAATGTTTAAGCATTAATTCTGAGAAAATTCTACTTATCTTTTTAAAATCAGCCTCTAAACTACCTTCTTATTTCAAATTCATAATGAGAGTTTTGGATTTTTTTTCCTATTTAAAATGAAGTCCCTACTTTGAGTCTTTTCCAAGTATCCCTTGTGATAATAACTACAGTATTCTTTAATGGGAGCGTATAGCTCTAAATAAATCTAGGAGCTGTAAACATCTTTCCTCATTCTGCCAGTGATAACGCTTCTTAATAAGTAATATCATAGTGGTGAAGTGAAGCCAGAATCCTTGGGTTCAAGCTTGACTGTATCATTGACTTCCTATGTGACTTTAAATCAGAAGAGTCTCTGTAATTTAACTTTTTGTCTATATAACAAAGTGTATTAGTGATAGCTGGCTCATAGGGTGGTTGTGAGAATTAAAATATTTAGTATTTATAAAACACTTAAAAGTGTCTGGCTCAACTGTGTGTTATAAAGATAATAATGAAAATAAATTAATTTTATTGACAAAATAATAATATAAATGTTATTTATATTTTTATTTAAATATTTATATATTAAATATATTAAAATTTTAATTTATTTATATTTCTGTCCATGGGATTCTCCAGGCAAGAATACTGGAGAGGGTTGCCATTTCCTTCTCCAGGGGATCTTCCTGACCCAGGGATTGAACCCAGATCTCCCACACTGCAGACAGACTCTTTACTGATTGAGCCACCAGGGAAGACCTAATACATGCATCCCTAATGAGTATTAAATAAATTAATGAATGAGTTAGTGACTGGATACATGACATTAAGTCAGATGGCATAGATTGGTACACTTACACCCACAGGAACAGGAAATTTTCCCTTAAAGATAACACAGTAGGATTTGGCTTATACAAGCCAAGGAGCCCTGAGTTTTATACTCTTGACCTGTCAGACAACCTGGATTTTTGGTGAAGAGTTAGTGGAAATACATATATTAGAATCTCAAGGAGGAAACAAGAAAAGAACCAGAATGGGATACAGATTCCAAGTACAAAGATACTTGTGGTATATGACTAAACATTTTAAGGTTGTGCTGCTTTATAAAGTTTATCACTCCGGGAGTAATGAGGCCACAAACTCTTACCTTAAAAAATTCTTTGAACTTAAAAAATATCACATATAATGCATGAACACTCTCCACACCTCGGAAGCCCTTATGAAAATAATAAGCATCAGAGTTTTACGTAAAATCCACTTGACAAATATAGGCAAATCTCAAATAATATTACATTCTGAAGTAAATGGAAAGTCTTAACCTTATGTATTTATCTTAAAATGTTCATGAAGAGATGCCCTATCAACTTTAATCACACACACACACACATATATAATGACACATACATATACACACATACATATATACATGTTACTAAAGTAAACAAAGTACTGATAAAAACTGGAACTCTACAAGGTAATTCCATTCTGATCCAATGCATTTTTGCTTGATAAATTATAAGGAAGTAATCAGTTCCTTGAAATTGCTTATCTCGTAGAGAGACTAATTCCTAAGAAGTGTATACACACACACACACACACACACACACATACACTGGTCTCTTGAACACTATTCCAAAATGCCGGATATAAATTCAAGAAAAAAATTTTCAATGCTTAAAGAATATTTTCCATAGATACACAGGCAGATATGTAAGAAACCTGGACGGATATGATATACTCTTAAAGTTGCCAAGACTGTGACTGAAAGCCTGCCTATCTTTTCATTTTCTTTCTCTAGCAGTCTTACTTTTGTTACCATACTGGAAATGACAGGGACAAGTTCACATTCACAGTTGCTCCAAGGCATCAACAAAGAAAACTTAAAAGCCAAACAGAGAAGACAGGCCAAAGGAATAATTTTCACTAATCTCATCTGAATATTCAGCAAACATGTATGCCTGGAAAACTCAACGGTGGGATTTGAAGACAAGTGAGACTGAAAATAGTTTCAACAGATGCATGGATTGATTCTATTTAGAAAAACACAGGAGAAAAAGAAAAGAAACGCTGGGCTTGTCAGAGGAGCAGGCAATGGAGTTGCTCTCTGGAAGTGGTGTGTGTATCTGTGTATGAGGGAGGTTGGGGACACGAACATCAAGAGGGCAAGGGGAAGGTTAAAAGGAGGAAGAACACAAAGAGAACTGCCAAGTGATGCACTCCTTTCTCCAAGAGTCTGAGTTGTGCCAGAAAAGAAAAAGGAGTGCATTAGACACAATTGTCTTTGTGATAAACAATTGGTCTGAACCTGACAGTGTGAGGGAGAGGAGTAGAATGTTTACTTGGTGGAGGCTTGACAAATTTTTTAGGTGATGAGGTTACTTTTCATCCAGTGGGGGAAAAGGTGTTGAAACACCGTGTCTTCCAAATTCTCAGAAACCCTATGCAGCCACACAAGTAATCACACATTTATGCCTTACATTAAGAACATCACCTCTGGTAGCAATTAAATGAATAGACACATGCATAGTGTACCAAATTACTGAACTAAGTTCTGACTAATTTAAGAACTAGATGTCTGTAGAGCTTATTCATGTATGACAAGTAAGCTTTGTACAACTTTATATTTACTGACACACACACCCCTCTAAAGAGTGAAATAAAGTAAAACTTCATTATATACCTAAATAATTTTTAACTGTTAAACTCTTTTTCAAAACCTTTCCTGTAAATTATTCAATACTGACAGACTTTAGATTTTTGACTAGAATTTCTCTTTCTCTTGTTCTACGAAATGCGATTATCTCAATTGATGCTTTTTGATAAATAAACCAAGAGACCTCTGTCCCACACAATACTACACATTTAAAAACAATAATAAATCCTGGCTTTCCCTTTGAGCTGAGCTTTAAAATATCAGATCCCCCTCAAAATTCCAAACCCCATCAATGCAAACACAGAAATGTGAAATGCTATTTAAGATATTGACATTATTGCATAACTTGATTCGAAGGGATGCTGAACCTGCATGAAACGAACCCAAGGTCTCTCTGTGCATGCTAAATTTTTCAGTGTAATCTATTATTATAACACTTGTGCAGTTATAAATGATTCCTACATGGCATGTCTTTGCATACTGCACACTGCCAATTTTTATGAATGAATACACAAAAATGCTCATAATTCGAGAAAATGGATGGCAGCATACTATTTTGAAAACGGTCATTGAGCACTGGAAGCAAAGGATAAGACAAATGGTCAAGTGCCTTTTGGTGCCATGCTGGGCAGCTGTATTCCCCAGTTCCCTAGCAGAGTGTGTTGGAAACAGCCATGAAGCTATTTCCTTAGAGACTCATTCTGTCTCTCAGAAACCGTGAGCTACAGAACGGAGACCTTGCGTCGCTCGGAGAACAGAATGTATGCACGTCCCTGTGTTCTGAGGACTGTTCATACATCAGAGACATCGCACTTCCCGAATCCGGTCCCACAAGTGTGTGCATGTGAGTGTGGCATTTATCAACAAACGAACAGAAGGCAAGGAGAGCTCATCGCCTAGAAATAACACATCCCATCCCTTCCCAGGCAGGCAGCTGGGAAGCTTTTCGGGGGCTAACACTTGAGCGCCTTCCCCACGGGGATGGAGCCTTGCATTTAATAACCCTCTAGGGCTAAGACAGCTTTGTGTGTGAGTCCACTCTGTTCCATATGGCAGTTTCTAATTCCTTTAGCAACTCAAGTCTAGCTAGACTGCCCGCGATGATTCATTCTTAAAGGAAGCCCCCTTGGGGCTCAGTAATGCCCCCGCCACTTACCTAGCTCCCACCGACCCCGCTCGGCAGGCGGCTCGGGCTCCACAAAGAGCTGTGGGATTCCCCGCTCCCTCCGGGGCTCCTCTCCCCGCGACGGTCCCCTTCGCCAATGATCTGTCGCTGGAAATCCCCCTCCCCTCCGCGGAGAGGAGGGTCTCCCCGGCTGGCTGGAGCTCTTGCCTTTTTTTTTTTTTTTTTCCACCCTCTCTTTACATCCCTGACTCTGGTTCTCGATCTCTAGTAGGAAGGCTCAACGGAGAGGCGGCGGGAGGAAGCTAAGGCATCCTTAAAAAGAACAATAATCTTCAGAGATCTTCACCCCCTTCCCCATCGCGGGCCCCCATTCCCCTGCCGCTGCCGCCGGCGCCCAGACCAGAGAGGGCTGGGATAGAAAAGGAAAAAAATCGAGCCGGGCTCAGCTCGCCGCGCGGAAGGAGCCGGGAGGGCGAGCGGCTCCAGCCGGGGGAGTTGTCGCTCGCTCGGGCTGCCCGCGGCGCGGCGGCCGGCGGGGGCGCAGGGCGGTGGGTGCTTGGTGGGTGTGTGTCTGTGGCGGAGCCGGGGAGAGGCTGGGCGCGGGAGGCGAGGCGGGGCGCTCGGGGGCGCCGGCTTGTGCTCCCGGCGGCCCCAGGCCGGCTCCACACCCACCTGCTTTCCTCCGCTGCTCCCCCTCCGCGGAGCCGGAGGGTCCGCGGCCCCGCGGGCGCCGCGCGAGGGGCGGCGGGGAAAGCCCGGGGCGCCCCGGTGGGGGTGCGCTTGGCGTCTTCGCGGGATTCCCTGGGCCCCTCTGTTCTCGGCTGCCGAGCTATCCCCCGGCACGCCCCACACGCCCCTGATCCTGGCTCGCTGCTCGACCCCGGGGGACTGGGGAGAGGAGAGCCAGCTCCTGAGTGATGGGACCCGGAGTACCCCCAGGGAAGGAGCGCGCGGGTAACGAGGAGCGCAGAGAGGATCTGACTTTCCTCCGAGCTCCTGCAGCTCTGTTTGGGGGCCATCGCCAGCTCAATAACCCCGGCTTTCCCGGGTTTGAGGGAAAAGCCTGGTGGGTGGGAGCCGTAACTCTGACTTCCCACAGGGGCGCTATTCATACCCTGACTTGCTTTCTTTTGCCCGCCCTCCCTGTCATCTAGAGAACTGTGCCAAGTTCCTCCTTGGAAAGACAACCAGATGGACACCCAGAACTTTCCCTACCTTCGTGTCGAGGTAAAGACGGGATAATTTGAGTAACAACTTCACTGGGCTTTCTGGGCTCCGGTCCCATGCGACCCTCAGCAGGCACAGGGTAGAGACAGCCTCCTTAGTTACAGGGGCTTTCAGAAAACGAAGTAGCTTGAAACACCCTTTTACCAAGAACGCAGGCCGTGACAGTGTAGAGTTGGGACTCCCTTCTGAGTTTCTTTAGGCCAAGAAAGACTACTGTTGAAGAAGGTCCGTGTTGATGTTTGGTAGAAATCAATGCAATACTGTAAAACAGTTATCCTTCAATTAAAAAATTTTTATAAGGTCCAAATATACCCAGGTTGAAACGCAGCTCACTTAATCCTTACTTCTCTCTTAGCCCTCATATACATTGGAATGCTCCATCATGTAGCATTCTCTACACTTTGACTTCCCACATGTCCACAGGCCTACAGATTACTTCCTACAGATTACCCTGCCCCAGCCACAACCCTGACCATATCATTTTCCTGGTCACAAATGTTCCCTGGCTTCTCCATTCCCTACCAATCAGTGTCTGCACACTTCTGTGCCATTTCACACCAGAGTCCCTCCTGGGATGTTCTCTCCCAGTCTCAAGTCCAAATCATTGCAGCATTTCAAAGCCTAAGTCAAACTCCGCCTCCTCCGTGACCCCTGCCTTATGATGTGATCTGAAATAGCTTCCCAGGTGGCGCTAGCGGTAAGAACCGACCTGCCAATGCGGGAGACCTAAGGGAACTGGGTTCTGTCACTGGGTGGGGAAGATCCCCTGGAGAAGGAAATGGCAACCCACCCCAGTATCTTTGCTTGGAGAATCCCATGGACAGAGGAGCCTAGTGGGCTACAATACATGGGGTCGCAAAGAGTCCGACATGACTGAAGCGACATAGCATGCATGCATGAGATAGCCTTATCTCGTTAAAGAAATAGCACCTTCTGCTTCCTGCAGAGTATGTGTGTTTCCTGTATACAAATCTTAACAGTTTTAAATGTTTATCCAGGGTAGAGTCCATATCACTTTGTTTGCATTCTTTATGTATAACCCAAAGCCACACATATAAGAGATACTTATTCATCCACAAATACTTATTTTTTGATATTTCTCAGGAACTCGATAATTGTTAAATGAGTGGAATATGCAAAATATTTTGCCCAGAAACACTGCTTGATTCATTTTGAGGATGTGCCTAAATATAAGAGGTGTGATCTTTCATAAATTTTATGGATGGTGAAAATCCCCTTACCTTACTAGCCCCACATTAGTACCACTGATCACTTTCAATGAGAATTTAATAATTTGACAAGTGTTTGTTAAAAAAAATTTTATTTTCCTTAAGTTTCCATTAGGGTTCAGAAATCTGAATCCATTTTCCTACTAAGCTGTCATTGATCAAGAGAACGAATTATCTACTGGGTGAAACACACTGCTGCTATCTCCATTAATGAGAAGTAGTGCGCTTCCCACGTGGCACTAGTGGTAAAGAATCTGCCTACTTAGAGACTGGGTTCCATCCCAGGGTTGAAAAGATCCCCTGGAGTAGGGCATGGCAACCCACTCCAGAATTCTTGCCTGGAGAATCCCCAAGGAGAGAGGAGCCTAGTGGTCTACACTGCATAGCGTCGCAAAGAGTTGGACAGGACTGAAGCAACTTAGCAGGCATGCAGGATGCTAGAAGTAGTTATTACCCATCATGCTCAAGTCTTGTCTGTAACCATGCAATGACATGGAAAAACGAACTTTGGAAATAAGATCTAATTCCACATACAAAATTGTAGCTCAAATAAATTATAGAGAACAACCCTTAGTATACAGATTTTTTTTTCCGACATGACTGAAGCGACATAGCATGCATGCATGAGATAGCCTTATCTCGTTAAAGAAATAGCACCTTCTGCTTCCTGCAGAGTATGTGTGTTTCCTGTATACAAATCTTAACAGTTTTAAATGTTTATCCAGGGTAGAGTCCATATCACTTTGTTTGCATTCTTTATGTATAACCCAAAGCCACACATATAAGAGATACTTATTCATCCACAAATACTTATTTTTTGATATTTCTCAGGAACTCGATAATTGTTAAATGAGTGGAATATGCAAAATATTTTGCCCAGAAACACTGCTTGATTCATTTTGAGGATGTGCCTAAATATAAGAGGTGTGATCTTTCATAAATTTTATGGATGGTGAAAATCCCCTTACCTTACTAGCCCCACATTAGTACCACTGATCACTTTCAATGAGAATTTAATAATTTGACAAGTGTTTGTTAAAAAAAATTTTATTTTCCTTAAGTTTCCATTAGGGTTCAGAAATCTGAATCCATTTTCCTACTAAGCTGTCATTGATCAAGAGAACGAATTATCTACTGGGTGAAACACACTGCTGCTATCTCCATTAATGAGAAGTAGTGCGCTTCCCACGTGGCACTAGTGGTAAAGAATCTGCCTACTTAGAGACTGGGTTCCATCCCAGGGTTGAAAAGATCCCCTGGAGTAGGGCATGGCAACCCACTCCAGAATTCTTGCCTGGAGAATCCCCAAGGAGAGAGGAGCCTAGTGGTCTACACTGCATAGCGTCACAAAGAGTTGGACAGGACGGAAGCAACTTAGCAGGCATGCAGGATGCTAGAAGTAGTTATTACCCATCATGCTCAAGTCTTGTCTGTAACCATGCAATGACATGGAAAAACGAACTTTGGAAATAAGATCTAATTCCACATACAAAATTGTAGCTCAAATAAATTATAGAGAACAACCCTTAGTATACAGATTTTTTTAAAAATAGCTGACTTCTCCATAGCATAGCTTGAATTTGCTGCTGCTGCTGCTAAGTCACTTCAGTTGTGTCCGACTCTGTGCGACCCAATAGACAGCAGCCCACCAGGCTCCCCCATCCCTGGGATTCTTCAGGCAAGAACACTGGAGTGGGTTGCCATTTCCTTTTCCAATGCGTGAAAGTGAAAGTGCTCAGTCGTGTCTGACTCTTAGCAACCCCATGGACCGCAGCCTACCAGGCTCCTCCATCCATGAGATTTTCCAGGCAAGAGTACTGGAGTGGGGTGCCATTGCCTTCTCCGAGCTTGAATTCTAGATGGCTGTAAAACCTCTTGTGTTGATCATCACCATGTGATTTCACCGCCTTAGTGTGTATCATTTTTTATTTTTGTACTCTCCAAAGAGAAGATGAAAAGGATCTAGCTGAAAAGTTAGACATGTTTTCATATTACCCCTTAAGTCAGGGGTCCCAGCCTCCAGGGATCTAATGCTTGATGATCTGAGGCAGAATTGATCTAATAATAATAGAAATAAAGTGCACAATAAATGTAATTCACTTGAATCATCCCCACACCATCCCTCCTGGACCCCCTCATCCCATCCCTCACTCTCCGTGTGTGGAAAAATTGTCTTCCACAAAACTGATTCCTGGTGCTAAAAAAGGTTGGGGGGTACTTCCATAAACTATCTTATTTTAACCTTTATTGATATTTATGAAAATGTTCCTATTGCTTGTATTTCAATTTCTCAGATTTATCATAAGATTCGATGAAATTGTATTAAAAGTAAAGAGGAGAAATATCTGTTTAAAATGTCAGATTGCTTTTCTCATAACACTTGGTGAAAAAAAATCACTTCAATTTAAGTTTAACCTGAAATACTCTTATGTGTTATCATTAGATCAATTTAAATGAAGAATGCATTTCCTCATATATCAGTGCTGGTGATATTGGAATATTTATGTATATAACACAATATCAAGAAAAATAGGTTTTTGGTATTTTTTGTTGAATACCATATTTGAAAAATATTTAATCTGAATAACATCGTTACTGACTACATTTTAACCTATCAAACTGAAATTTTCATTGGCAAGTTGACTACAGAAAGAGTCTGTATAGATAAGAATAAGGTAGTAAAGGCTGAAGGATGAACATATTTTAAAATGTTAAAAGCAGAAAGGTAAGAATTTACAAGTTTTTGGAGACTAAATAATTAGAATTTGATTTAAATTTATTAAAGAATTTAAATGGAAATATGTTTATGACATGTGAGTAAAATCAAGCCAAAACAAAATCAAGTTTAAAAGAAGAGACTTTAAGAATGATATAAACCCCATGGAAGGAAAAAATACACAAATACAAATGTAAATGTGTGTGTGTGTGTGTGTGTGTGTACGTGCACATATATTCTGGAAGGATGTGCATTAATAACTAAAAGAGTTGTCTTTAGAAGTTGAGAGGCATGTTTTGTTTTATTTGGCATAACACCTTTATACCAAAAGATAGGTGCAATTTTATTTTCTTTAAACATCAGCACTATGATACACCAAATATGTACATAGATCAATACTGTACTTCTTTTTTTTTAATGGGGAAAATACTGCTGTGGTGCTCCTTATCATACAAGAAAACCAACACTCAAGGGTGATGAGAATTTATCACATTCTTACACCTGAAGTGCCTTCTTTTTCATGGCAAACTAGAAATGTTGGAAAACTCGTCAATTTAGAGTATCAGAATCCTAGCAGCCACTGAAATCCTACACTCACACGTGACACTGAAGGCTTGAAAAATAAATGAACTGCTTATGTGTTCTTCATTGAGGAGCTACATACTAGCTTACTGATTTTTTTGAATTTAGTTAACGCAGATTTGACTATCCTTTGAAGATTTAAAGTAAGAGATAAGCTCCAATATGACTTTACTTGTTTGTTTGTTTGTTTTTTACAGCTCCTACAGTGAATATGAACTTTTGGGAAAATATTAAGTGCTTAAACATTACTTTTTTTTTTTTTTTTGCTATATAGTAGCAGGAACTTAAGTACAGTGTTTGAATTCATACTTGGAGCTACTTCCCAACGTCATTAGTATCTAAGCAACCTAGTTAGTTCTTAGGAATCCATGAAATTGAGGATAAATAATTTCTGGGGCCAGTTAACTGGAAATTCCAAAAATATGCTAGATAAAAAATATCTAATCATGTTTTTCCGGGACATGGTAGAACAGGGTCAGATTCCTGGCCGAATCTGAACCCATCTCTGTTACATATTTGGGCTTCATTAACAACAGGTCAGTTTTACCACAACATTGCAACAAGTCATTCTTTACAGATATTGGCTAATTTAATCCTGATTATGGTTCTTTGAGGTAGATACTATTATTATTATTTAAGTTACTAAAGAGAGTAACTGAATCAGAGAAAATTTAAATTATTTGTCCAAGATCACACTGTCAGAATTAGAATTTGACCTAAGATAATGTGACCTTAAAATTGTAGGCTATTTCCCTTTATCTTACTCCATAATGATAACATCTTCCTTCCTATTTCACAGGTTGTCTCAAGTTCATGTGGGAAATAGTATATTGGATATTATTGTTAATTTTTAGGATGAAAATCTGGTTAAGATAAATGTAGACATCGACAAGCACAATCTACAAAAAGGAGAGAAAAGGAAAAGAAATAACCTACTAGTGGTCCCCAAAGGGGATGGAGGTAGGACATGCATCTTTTGTTTTTCTAAAAGGTAGATTGATGCCAATTCAACCCCACCACTCACTAGTTGTCTTCATGACATTTGTCTGAGATTTCATGTGCCAAGGTGGGGCACGTTTGGGATGAGTCATGTTGCCATGGACTAGGTGGAAGGCTTTCAGGCTCGCATAGAGGTTATCTGTGTGGATCACGATCCATGCAGATGGACAGAACAGCTACAGATTGTGAACTGGCACAGTGGATCAGAAAGCTTCTGGGGCTCTTAGAATAATCTGGGCTTTGGGTAAGTAGCCAATGGATAATCTCTTGTAGAAAAAATACAACCGATCACAAGTGAAAGAACCCTCTTAGTAAATACAAGGACACTATTCTTGGTCCCAGACTTTACATTATTATAAGCAAAAAGCGGATACAATGATAAAACATGTCCCTTCTGGCTAAGAAAGGACTTTGTCTCTCAGAAGCCAAGATCACAGCCATGGCAAGCAGAGTTAAATTAGTTACTCACAGTCTTTTCGGAGAAATTTCCGAGTAGACCTAGGACTCTAACAAAGCACTTGGGTTTAAGTTGTGGCAAATACTCTAACAGTGCCTTTATTCCCTTCTGACAATGAAGCCTGAGCGGACAGTAAATTCAACAGAGACATGCTTCCCAAAGGGCCACTCTCAGGCTGACAAAAAATAATGCTGCCCTATTTCTTGGTCGTCCTTGTCATTAGCACTCTTGCACCTTTAAGACCTTTGCCATATCATGTAGAAAATTCTGATCATGAGTGAGATCCACAGTCTGACAGTTAGCATTTCTCACTGCTGATTCAGGTAGCTAATTTTTGTGTTTTGTTCAGTGTTTTGTTCTGAGTAAAATATATTATGGTAATAAATGTAAAATCAAAACTTTTTAAAAGCTCGCTAGCATTGTTAATTTAGTAAAATTACATTAGGAACTTAACACAAGTAATTATTGAAAAGCTTTTAGTATTTAGTATTTAGATGTGAGTAACTAGTCAAAATTGATAAACATGTATTGGAAGGCATACAGATTTAAAAATAAGCATATTTTACTTAAAATACACTACAGAAATAAAAAAGTGATTTTCTTCAAGAATGCCAACCTTTGCTTAATCACTACTAACAAATTGTCAGTTTATGTAATTAAATATATATATGCTAATCATGGTGCTTACTATTTTACTTTGTATAATATCTTATGTTATATATTATATATGTTATTTGAAATTAAATACTGTCAGTGTGCATCTTAGGTGTTTGGTTCTGTTTATTAGTCTAATCCTTTTTGACAGAAAACAACAAAATTATGTAAAGCACTTATCCTTCAATTAAAAACTAAATAAATTTTTTTTAAATGAAGATTTCTTTCAACAAACACAGGCATGTATTTTTGAACTCAAGAGCAAGTGATTTTGACTGGAATTTAAAATACAGAGGTGAAAATGTTGAAAAGACTATTTTTTCCTCACCTCCCCACCCCTATTTGTACTCTGTGCTTGTGTGTGTGCTAAGTCATTTCAGTCGTGTCCAACTCTTTGTGACCCCATGGACTGTAGCCCACCAGGCTCCTCTGTCCATGGGATTCTCCAGGCAAGAATATTGGAGTGGGTTGCCATGCCCTCCTCCAGGGGATCTTCCCGACCCAGGGATTGAACCCATGTCTCTTAGGTCTCCTGCACTGACAGGTGGATTCTTTACCACTAACACCACCTGGAAAGCCCTATTTGTACTCTATGCAGAGCTAAAGCAGACCCAACCAGATTTTAGAGTCTGTCATAGTTAATGTTTGATTTAGCTAATTGCATTACTTATAGACGTAATCAGATATGGGAATGGAGAATTAAACATGGAAATTCAGCCTGTGAAATGAGTCTAATTATCATGAAAGCTGTCTACTTGGACTTGCTGCTCCTGCCGTCATGGAAGTCCCCATACGGCCCCAGCAACGGATCAGTTCACACGGCAGTGTGTTGGGAGATGTTAGTGTCACTGAATAAGCAAGTCTTCATGAGCTCTACGGTCGACCGTGACTCATCCTATCATTTCCTTCTACCACGTAAGAAACTGAGTTCAATAGAAAATTAACTTCTCCTGAGAATAGCAACAAAAATTAAAACCACATCCCCCCCATGGTTCCTGCTAATTAGAGTAGGGGGATGAACTTTTCCCTGCAGAAATTAGACAATTTCTCTTCTTCCCTCTTTCACTACGTATATTTACCTCCAAAACTAGCCCCTGATGTTAGCTGGGGATGTCCATCACAGGTACCTGCTGGGCTTAGCTAGTGATAATACACACAAAGTGTGTCATTCTCTTATACTGCTTTAAATTCCTAAATGTAATAGTTATGACAACTGCATTTGATAACAATTGACACAAAAGAAATCTAGTATAAGCATCATCACCTTTTCTACTATGAGTTGCATTAATTTAAAACACTTCTGGGAATTCCCTGGTGATCCACCACTTAGGACTTCATGCTGCCACTGCAGGAGGCACAGGTTTGATCCCTGGTTGGAGAGCTAAGATCCTGCAAGTTGGGGCAAAAAAAAAAAAAAAACAAAAAAAGTAAAACATTTCTAATATCTATATTCCAGTGAGAAATCTTTCAAGTTCAGTATTTTGCACAAAGTTCATTTGGAAGTTTGAAGGGCACTGTACACAGGATGTCATGAAATTGTTTGGAGGAGACTGTGTTTTCATATGGGATTTCCCTAGTGGCTCAGATGATAAAGAATCCTCCTGTCATGCAGGAGACCTGTGTTCAATCCCTGGGTTGGGAAGAGTTCCCTGGAGAAGGGAATGGCTACTCACTCCAGTATTCTTGCCTCCATATGTACATAAAATGAAATTTACCTATTAAGAACTACAAACTCAAGAGAGTTCCCAGGAACAAGAATCTCAATACAGAGTCAGGTTATCAGCTTATATAATTTTCTATATTGCCTATGGCAATTACCAATAGTTGTAGAACTGGAAACTAGTGCAAAAAAAATGGAAGCATTAACAAAAAAGCAGAGTAGGTAAGTTGAATTTGTTAAATAGTGAATGCCGAGAAAGGAACACTTTCCTATCTCTTTACAAGCTCTCCAATTTTTTCCCCAAAGCATGAGATTTGAGTGCCCTTAGATAGTATTATTGTTTGGTTTGCAGAGCTAGAAAATACTCCTGGGATCCCCATTTGAAAAATGTGGCTGTTGACATTTAAATGACTCTGTTATGATTTGACCTGGAAAATTATGGTCAGATCTGTACGCTTTATTACCAGAAGAATGTGACCAAATTAAAGGGAATTTGGAAAAGACTAAAGTAAATGATTAAAAAAGAAAATAAGAGGGGAAACATTACAATTGTACTACCAGAGTGGGAAACAGAGATTTAGAAATCCTGTGTCTGAGGAGTGAATGGAGGTAACATTGAGATTATGTTCTGTGTCACAAAATATATACAACAAAATAATGAGATTAAAGATAACCAACATTCCTGTTTTTAAAAACATCCATTTTATGAGATATTTAAAATTTTGTAAAATATTATTCTTATCAAAATATTAAGTACTTACAGTAAGCCCTTTAAAAAAAAAAAAAGAAACTTATTTTTATTTATTTATTTGGCTGCTCCCGATCTTAGTTGCAGCACATGGGATTTTTAGTAGCTGCATGTGGGATCTAGTTCCCTGACCAGGTGTCGAACCCAGGCCCCCCGCATTGGGAGCTCTGAGTCTCAAGCACTGGACCACCAGGGAAGCCCCAGTAAGCCCTTTTTTAAAACAAAACAAAGCAAAGCAAACCACAATGACGCTTAGACTTAAACAATGTAATCTGCTACTGCTATATTTAAAACAGATGACCAATGCAGACCTACTGTATAGCACAGGGAACTCTGCTCAATGTTATGTGGCAGGCTGGATGAGAGGAATTTGGGGGAGGATGGATACATGTATATGTATGGACGAGTTCCTTTACTATATACCTGAAACTATCACAATATTGTTAATCAGCTATACTCCATATAAAATAAGAAGTTAAAAAAGAATTTAACTTGCTCATAATAAAGAGCTACTTTTCTTCTTCTCTCAAGAAAAAAGTATTTTTCCTGAAAATACTTGCTAATGTGAAAACCACCTAATAAATTTGATACTTTATTTGCTCATTTAAATAATAGGGCACATTATGTAATATATCTTGGGGCCTCATCATATATTGAAAATATATAGCTATATCATGTAATAAATACTAACATTATTAAATACTTAGACTACTTATTGCTTCATCCATAATTATGATTTAGAGACTTAAAATTCTAACAAGAATTATGTCTGAATGAAAACTTACTTGACAATGTCAGAGTAAGTAATTTCTATACAAAGAACTACATTTTCCCCTTAAATTTATAGATTTAGCCAAGTTTTTGGTATTCCTATTGATATTCCTTCCCTCTTTCCTTCCTATTACACTTTATGAACAATTTTATAGCTATCACAGCTAGAGTGACAGATTTAGTAGATAAAAAATATGTAATAATTTCTTCTGCAACCTAGGTTAGTCCTTAGAAAGTGGCATGGAAATGATAAAATTAGGAAAGGTAGAATCACTGCTAACCACATCTTCTCTCTGACATCCCTGCCTTCTTCCTTCTTGGTGGTCATCACTGCCTCTAGAACCTTCATCTAGATCCAGATGACTCCCAAAGTCATCTTTTCTAGTCCTTGATAATTGCAATTAGTGTTACATTTCTGACTTCCTCTTGGAGCCTTCCAGTTGGATATTATGCCATTGCCTCAAGTAAATTTATCTGAAACAGTTCCTCCTCTTGATTCCCAGTCCTGCAAATTACCTATGTTCTTCCATTGTCCTGCATCAAAGCTTTTGCATGTATCTTTTTTATTAATTGGGGTATAGTTGTTTTAGGGGCTTCTCTTGTGGCTCATTGGTAAAGAATCTGCCTGCCAATGCAGGAGATGAGGGTTCAGTCCCGGGTCAGGAAGAACCCCTGGCGAAGGAGATGGCATCCCACTCTGGTATTCTTGACTGGGAAATCCCATGTATGGAGGAGCCTGGTGGGCTGCAGCCCACGGAGTTACTAAGGAGTCAGACATCGCTTATCAACTAAACAACAATAACATAGTTGCTTCCTAGTGTTGTGTTCATTTCTGCTGTGCAGTTAAGTGAATCAATTAGTGTATAAGTATATTCAGTGTGTGTGACAGTCTCTAGGTCCATCCGCATCACCACAAACGACCCAATTTCATTCCCTTTTACGGCTGATTAATACTCCACCCTGTATGTATATGCCACATCTTCTCCATCCATTCATTTATCAGTGGACCCTTATATTGGATCCATGTCTTGGCTATTGCAAATCATGCTACAGTGATATACCTCACACAAGTCAGAATGGCCATGGTCAAAAAAGTCTACAAATACTAAATGCTAGAGAGGGTGTGGAGAAAAGGGAACTCTCTTGCACTGTTGGTAGGAATGTAAATTGATACAGCCACTATGGAGAGTAGTATGGAGGTTCCTTTTTAAAAAAAACCCTAAAAATAGAACTGTCATATGACCCAGCAATCCCACTCCTGGGCATATAGCCTGAGAAAATCATAATTCAAAAAGACCCCAGCAGGCTGGTGTTCATGGCAGGCATCTTAACTCATTGCTTTCTCCTTCCCAGTTCAGTTACCAAGTCCTCTGACTTTTCTTTCATAAAGTCTCTTAACCCAGTGTCGCAGGTGCACACACACATGCACACACACAGTTTACCTCATTCCCACAATTCCCTCCAGTGTGGATGGTTCTCTTCTCACTATCACCTTCCCAAAACACGCCCATCATTCCATCACACCTGATTTTAAAAACACTTCCCTTCTGTCAAATAAACCCTCAATCCCTTACCCTGAGGTTCAGACTTTTCCCTGACTTGACTCCAGCCCATATTTCCACCCTCACCGCTCACTCATAGTCTTGCCATCACCATCCCTCAAAGCAAGCTTGCATTCCCAAGTCTACACTTTGAACCGCACTGCATTCTTATTTTGCAATACTCTCTCCTTCCTACTCCCGCAATCAGAATTCCAAAAATAATAATCATCACCAAACTAATAATCCTAATCTCACTCCCTGAAGTTTTCCTTGACTCTTTTAGGCAGGAGAGGTTTTGTTTCTCTTCACCTATATCACATTATCTGCTACTCATTTATCTTAGAAAATGGTAGTGTTTAGCACTTAGAACAACATACTCTTTCCTGAAAAAACTGAAAGTGAAGTCACTCAGTCATGTCTGACTCTTTGCAACTCCGTGGACTGTAGCCCGCCAGGCTCCTCTGTCCATGGAGTTCTCCAGGTAAGAATACTGGAGTGGGTAGCCATTCGCTTCTCAAGGAGGTCTTCCTGAGCCAGGGATTGAACCTAGATCTCCTGCATTGCAGGAAGATTCTTTATCATCTGGGCCACACTCTTTTCTACTATATATTATATTGAATGTCTAATATGTGTTAAATGCTATCTCATCATTGCTTTTTATAGAGCATTACAAAGGTCATCTGTTTCTCTGATTAGATGATCAGCGACTGGAGAGAAATTCAGTAAAGAAAAAATGAAAAACCACATACTTTGAAATTACAATCATCTAGGAAGTTCAAAACAAACTCAAGATGTCCCTGTGAGAGTGGGCAGGTTACTTAGCTTCTCTAAGCCTCAGGTCCCTTTTTTGTGAAAGAAAGAAAAGGATATACCTATCTTGCAAGCTTGTTTTAAAGGCTCATTAAACTCATATATGTAGAGATATCGACCATAGAAGGCGCTGAAGATATGTGTGTTCTTCCTTTCCCCATATGCCCTCTAAAAATCTTACTCACAGTGGGGACTTTGTCAAAATTAATCAATCACAAAAAATTTGTAGCAATTTAAATGTTTAATATTTCTTAGGCAAAAAACCTTTTTTCCTCCCTAGAACAAAAGCATACATGAGAGATTAGAGAATAGGGTTGACAATGTAGGTTGGTACAAGACAGACCTGGACTTAAGGCCATGGGATATTTTCCACACTTAAACTGAAACAAGACATGCTGAAATATATTCACCCAAGAGTCATGTGAACTATTATTCTCTTTTTAATTGGCCCTCATTGCAATATGTGGGAAACAGCTGGAAGGGAACACAGATAGGTGCTAGATATTTGTAAAAGCATGAATTCCCTTTCAGAAGACTGGGCTAATGTTCTGATCTTGATAATGAATAGCTGTGTGACCCTAGGGAAACCCTTTACCTCTCTGGGGCTCTGTTTTCTCATATGTAAATTTGAATTAATAATTCCTTTCTCATGGAATGTCTTTGAGGCTTAAATGAGATTAAATATATAGTATATAATTTATAAGATGTGATGTACTGTATGTATATAAAATATTAAAAATTACATATATGTTCTGTTTGATAGGTAATAGTATCATTAGAGTTTGATTTGATCAGATATACAACATGATTTGTAACTCTCCACACACAAAAATTTAAGATGCCAGTCTATGTTTATGGGAGTTTCCCTGATGGCTCAACAGGTAAAGAATCCGCCTGCAATGCAGGAGATATGGGTTTGATCCCTGGGTTGGGAAGATCTCCTAGAGGAGGAAATAGCAATCCACTCCATTATTCTTGCCTGAGAAATCCCATAGATAGAGGAGCCTGGTGGGCTATGGTCTGTGGGGTCGCAAAGAGTCGGACACAACTGACCGACTGAGCATTATGTTTGTGGTGAAATGGGTGTTTAATAGTAACGATGCAGTTGAATCCCATATTAGAGAAGGGCTACAGCTACAAAGAAAACAACAGGACCAAAGGCAGTGTTCCCTATAAGATGGGGCTCATTCAACTGTTCTTTGTCCTTTTCTTCTTTTTCTGGTCTCAGTGCTGCCAGATTTCAAAAGAAGGCTGAAATTCTATAAAACAAAATAATATAATTTGACTGTTTACTAAATATATAAGACAACATCGACTGTTGGAAAAAAGTAATAGCATTACATCAAGTTAAATTAAATCCAGTAGGCAGAAAATTCAATAGAATGTTGCAAAACAAAAGCAAGCATTTTGCTTTGAGCCCTAAAGAGCAGCAAGGGAATGGTAGTACAGAAGTCCCTGTGTAGAAGTGTTGCCTTGTGTTTCTATATTCGGGTGTGGGAAGAGTTGACAGTGGTACCCTGGCTGCCTGAGCAGCTAGGATGTTGGATGCAAAGGCAATCAGACCCCAAATCTTCTATGACTTTAAGGGGCATAGATAATTCAATACAAATTTGTAAATTAGCCATCTGAAATTACCTACAAATTATAAACAATTAAGACACAAACAATAATCAGTAAGATTGTTTATGTTTCTTGATATCATTTAGGGGACATTTGTCACTGACTTTTTGGTTACAAAAAAGATTATGTTTTTTTGGTAACAATAAGTAACAGAAGCAGACTTGTAGACAGAAATAAGCTAATAAATGTCTGGATTGTACAGTTGATTATGTACACAGAATATTTAGCAGACAACTCAACTAAGGTGATATCACTAGCTTTCTTTTCACCTAACATCAGCTCAGAGTATAAGGACGTGAAGAAAGTTTACTTAAAAGTCTCACTTTTATTATATATTTGAATTATTTCTGGTTTGTATTTAAGCCTTCAGGCTTGGTAATCTTCCCATGTAAGGTAAGGAAATGAAAAATTGAAACACATACCACTTTTAATTAAAATTCTAGTATCAAAAGATATTGAGCAGTCTCCCTTGATAAAATCAGCCCCAACTATGCTTTTGTCTTTACAATTAGTAATTAGTTTCATGCTATTTTTTATGTTAGGATCTATAGTGTTTGATTAGGGAGTAAGACTTCACTATTTCTAGGTTATAGCATAGCATAAAAATAAACAAGTATCCACACAGGATTCAAATTCCTTATTAGAATAAGTATAGAAGGCCCTGTCTTGATAATTTGATTGGCATGGCCAATTAGTTGCAAAACTCTAAAGGTTGTAAGAATGAGTTATTTTAAACACCACAACTAATCCTTAGACTTCTTAACAGATCAAGTGTCTATAATTTAAGTTTGAAGCTATGTCTGTAGTTGAAAATTTAAGGGAAAAGGCCCCGTGGAATTTCTTAGGTACTCAATTGTTGTTGCTTAATCACTAAATTGTGTCCAGCTCTTTTGTGACCCCACGGACTGTAGCCTGCCAAGCTCCTCTGCCATGGAATTTTCCAGGCAAGATTACTACAGTGGCTTACCATTTCCTCCTCACAGAGGACCTTTCCTATCCAGGGATCGAACCTGCATCTCCTGCCTTGGCAGGTGGGCTCTTTACTTTTGAGCCGTCAGGGAAGCCCACGTCCTCAATCAATGTGTCTTATTTTAAGGACACATGCTAAGTTGCTAAGAGCTTTCAAGTATCAGCTGTCATTAGACTTTTCACTGACAAAGAGACTTCAGACTTCTAAGTCAAAATGATTTCAACCTAGAATTCTATACTTGGCTAAACTATGAATAAAATCTGAGGGAAATTAAAGAGATTTTTAGACTTTCAAGGACTCAAAATATTTTCTTTTCATTCATTATTTAAAATATAGTCTAAGCAACTTTATTTTTCCAATATTACTATAATTTTTTTCAACTTCAAACCTTTTTGATTGAATTTCATTATTCTCTATATGTATATATACATACATTGACATACACATGTGTTGTAATACTGTACATATCATACATCCATTTGATGTACAGTATTATTCAAGTATGGATGTGAGAGTTGAACTTATAAAGAAAGCTGAGTGCCAAAAATGATACTTTTGAACTGTGGTGTTGGGAAGACTCTTGAGAATCCCTTGGACTGCAAGGAGATCAAACCAGTCAATATTGAAGGAAATTAGCCCTGAACATTCATTGGAAGGACTGATGCTGAAACTGAAACTACAATACTTTGGCCACCTGATGCGAAGAACTGACTCATTTGAAAAGACCCTGATGCTGGGCAAGATTGAAGGCAGGAGGAAAATGGGTTGACAGAGGATGAGATGGTTGGATGGCATCACCAAATTGATGGACATGAGTTTGAGCAAGCTCTGGGAGTTGGTGAAGGACAGAGAAGCCTGGCATGCTGCAGTCCATGGGGTCACAAAGAGTTGGACGCAATTGAGAGACTGAACTGATTATACAACTTACAAGTATAGAATATAATGATTCACAATTTTAAAGGTAATACTCCATCTATGGTTATTATAAAATATTGGCCATATTCCCTGCATTGTACAATATAACTTTGTAGTTTATTTTATACCTATTAGTTTCTACCTCTTAATCCCCTGCTCCTATATTGCCCCTACCCTCTTCCCTCTTGTTTACAAAATCTATCTGTGTTGTAACATATATTGAAATGTCTCTTCTTTTAATGGATGAATAATACGCCATTGTATGTATATTACACATTTTGTTTATCTGTTCATCTGTTAATCTATATTTAGGTTGTTTCTACCTGTTGGTTGCTGTGAATAATGCTGCTGTGAACACTGGTATACAAACATCTATTTGAAGCCCTGCTTTCAGTTCTTTTTGATAATACTCAGAAGTGAAATTCCTGGATCATATGGTAGCTCTGTGTTTAATTTTTTTTCAGGAACTGCCATACTATTCTTCATAGCAGCTGCATTATTTCACATTACAACTAGAAATGCACAAAGAATTTCTCCAATCCTTGCTAACATGTGTTATTTTCTGTTTGTTTGTTGTTTGTTTGTTTACAGTAGTCATCCAAGTGGATGTGAAGTGGCATCACATTGAGGTTTTGATTTTCATTTCCCAATAATTAGTGATGTTGAGCATCTTTTCATGTGCTTATTGGCCATTTGTATATTTCCTTTACAGAAATGTTGGTTCAAGTCCTTTGCCCATTTTCAATTTGGCTTTTTGTTGTTGAGTTGTAAGAGTTATTTATATATTCTGTATATTAATACCTTCTCAGGTGATATGTACATGTTTTCCCATCCTAGTAACTGCTTTTTCAATCCCTTGATAGTGTCCTCTGGTGGCATAAAGCTTTTTATTTTGGTGAATTCTAATTTATTTTTTCTTTAATTGCCTAAGTTTTTGGTGTCCTACCCAAGAAATCATTTCCAAGCTCAATCTGATGAAGCGTTCCCTGTATTTTTTCTTTTAAGAATTTTATAGTTAAGGCATTTGATCCATTTTGAGTTATTTTTTGCATGTGTGTAAGGTTAAGGTTAAATTTCATTCTTTAAAATGAGCATATCCAGTGTTCCTAGAATCGTTGATTGAAAAGACTATCCTTTCTTCACTGAATGCTCTTGGCACCCTTGTTAAAAACCATTTGACCATATATGTAAAGGGGGGAGCTCTCTCTTCTTATTCCATTGGTCTTGATGTCTGTTCTTATTATGCTCATCAATTCTTAAACAGTTGCTTAAAGACGTGTTTCAACTAAACTAAAAAAAAATAAATAAATAAAGGACAAGATAAGCCTTTAGGAGACAGAAGTGCCTAACCAGAATAACAATTGTGTACAATCCCCAAGTGGTAGTTATACTGAGACCTAAAGAGTAACCAGTACACATTTGAGCAAGAGGTCGGAGATTTCCCAGTGCAGATCTTAGGGACAGAAGGAGATTCAGTTGATTATATAGAATTAGAGTGCTGACCAGCTTGAGAATATAGTAAAGACAAGTGATATGATAGGGCAGAGAAAGGAAAATCTGTTTGAACTTAACTGTGGGAATGTTTTCTTTGAATGGCACAGCAGCCATGATGTGACATGGATCTAAGAGGAAGGAATGTAACCCAGTCCCACAACTGGATTTTACAGGAAACAGAATTTACATACTCATAATACTTTAAACTTTGAATTGTAAAGCAATATCCCCATACCCATTTGCCTTGGCTAAAATAAGGCAAAAGATGGCTACTTAAGACCTTTGAGCTTAGTTGGAGAACAGCAGGAAAACCACAGACAAGGAAACTGCTTATTCACCACTCCTTGCACAGGAGCTTTGAGGGACTAGATGACCAATCAGTGAACTTTAGACATTAGGGACCAAAAAAATCCACCACATGTAACAATACCCAGAACCTTCCAAATCTGCACAGTGACCTGTGAAGACAGTCGTGCCTGTGCAGAAGACCCTTGAAACCTCCCTTTACCCTTCCCCTATCTTTACTCAACTCCAACACCTTCCAGTCCCGTCTTTGATGAGAAATACCCCACTCAAAAGCCAGTCAAGAAGACAGAGCAGAACTTTGCCTCCTGTCTCCTTGCTTGGCTGCCCCACAATAAAGCTTTATCCCCCTGTTCTTTCCCTTGAGCAGAGGGCCTACTTGCTCGGATATAGTTGTTCACTAAAATTTCAATTTAAAAATTCACCCATAAATGATTGACATATATATACTACATGTAAAATAGATAACTATTAAGAACCTACTGTAAAGCACAGGGAACTCTACCCAATACTGTATGACCTAAATGGGAAAAGAATCTTAAAAAAAGTAGATATATGTATATGTGCAACTGAGTCACC